GTTTTGTGTCAGAATTAGACATTCCTTCCTCCTTAATATTTTGAGGACTGTTTATTAGCTTTTATTTAGTTATATACAATGAGAGATTTCATTGTTACATTTCCAAGGATTATTCTTTCATTTAAAAAAAATGTATAATTCATCAGTGAAGCTGTCTTGTCCAAGGCATTTCTTTGTTGGGGGATTCAATCCCTTTCCTAGTTCTAGATCTATTTGGACATTATATTTATTACTTCATGATTCAGTCTTGGTAGGTTTTGTATTTCTAGCAGTTTGTTCTATCTAGATATCTAATTTATGGGTATACAATTGTTCATAGGACTTACAATCTTTTATATTTTTCTTACCCTGGTAATAATGTTCCCTTTTTTATTTCTGGTTTTAGTAGATCCTTTAATTGACCAAGAGTCTACCTGAAGATTTATTAATTCTGTTATACCTCTGAAGAACCAAATCTTGCATTTATCTATTTTTGTTGTGAATCCTAATTATCTCCTGCCATCTTTGAGTGTTTCATAGCATAGAGTTTTCTATTTTAGGGGTGAGGGTACTGGTCAAATACTCAAAGCCTTGAACTTCCCAGGCAAGTGCTATGCTGCTTGAGCATAGCTCTAGTCAGTTGTTTTTTGGATGTGGTTGTTTTTTAAGATAAGTTCTTACTTTTTGCCTTGGCTGGGATGACAAGTGTTCCCTGTTACACCCAGCTTTCTATTGGTAGAATTTGGAGGGATGGGGATGTTCTTTTTCCTAGGCTGCCCTCAAGCCTAGAAATTCAAACCAAATTTTCCTGATCTCCATTTCCTTAGTGTATGAGTGAGCTACCACGCATGGCTTCATTTTCTAGATCCTTACTGTGTAAACTCAGGTTGTTGTAATCTATCACATCTACAAAATCTCCTACCTAGCAATGTATTATTTGTCTCAAAATATTTATATTCTGTGCAGTTTCTTTGACCCACTGGTTAAGATAGTATACCGTTTAATTTGCACATATTCCAGTTTTCATGCTGTTGATTTCTAGTATGAAATGATCATGCTCCATTGTGATCAGAAAACATTCTTTTAAAATTTATTAAGACCTATAAAATCAATAGTACTGAAAAGGCCTAGCCTTAAAACAGGAAAGGGGCATCTGCTTTCTCCAAGAGTAAAGAGCAATTTGACCAGCACAAAAGATGATATAGGTTAACCTCTCAGAGGCATTTGGGAAAGTGATATAGAAGATAGAATTGTCTCAAAGCTAGTCCTATCAGCCAATGTAGAAGGGTATAGATATGTTAAGCAAGTTAGCCTCCAAATTCAGACTAAGAAAAATGCCACTAGATCCTGCAAGCAGAGATTTCCTTCACCTTTTCACATATGGCTTGTCTTTTTCAGTACAAATATCTAAAATGTAAAAGTGAGCCTCATGTTAAGATTGAAGGGAAGGAAACTGATGACTGGCTGTGTGTGGATTTTGGTAAGTCACTTTAAAATTGGTGGGTGAATTTTATTTAATAACTCTCAATTAGTCTTAAGTGAAAGGGAAGCTTTACTTAATCAAAATATTCTAGAATATATACTCCTGAGGAACACATTGATATTGGTATCTAACCACCTGGGACCAGAAGGTGAACAGGATGAATATCATGGTTCAGATAGGATAGATCCTTTAATGTAGTAGAAAAAGGAGTATGGTGTGAGGATAGAGGATATATGTAAGCTTGGCCATAATCTTCCAACACTATATTAAGAATATGAGCAGTTTGAGATTTTATCCTGAGTTGTCCTTCCAGGTTCATAGATACCAGCAGATGACACACGATTATTCTGGAAGTAGAGAACAGATTTTTTTAAATAGTTCATTCAGTCTTAGAACCCATTTGGCAACAGAGGACCAGCTGAAATATGTATAGAGCGTAATGAGAATAACCTAAGATTAGGGTGCCTTTTATAATTACCAGGAAATAGGACATGTTTGCCCCTTGTGGGTAGATACCAACACTAGAAGTTTTTCAGCTTTGTCAACAATAGTATTTTGGATCAGTTCATCTTGTGGTCTTGGCAATACCTTGTAGCATGTTGACCAGTATGAGAGTAGTCCCTACAGATTTCTTGTCCCTTAGAACACTGCTGTTTGATAGACTGTTTCTGCTAAGACAATAAACCTTGGTAGTACTGACCACCTTTGTTTCTGGACTGTTTGTGATATTCATGAAGAATTCTCCCAAGTGGAATCCAACAGATCATTTTCACTTGGGTCAGCATTGATACATGTTGACATAATTTACCTCTGGATGTTATCACTTCTGCAGCTGTTATGTTTTCTGGGACAGGGTCCACAATTACTTGCCCTTCTAAAAAGTTCCTAGGTAATGTTGATCTTGGAACCACTGTTCCAGTGTCCCAGATTCATACTAAATCGAGGTTGTGAAAACAGAATAAATATGAATTGTTTCTTCACTATAACTCTTGTTTGTCCCTAATAGGCAGCATGGTGATTCATTTGATGCTCCCAGAAACCAGAGAAACCTATGAATTAGAGAAATTATGGACCCTACGTTCTTATGATGATCAATTATCTCAGATAGCACCTGAAACATTACCTGAAGACTTCATTCTTGGAATAGAAGATGATACTTCATCCCTGGCAACAATGGAATTCAAATGTGAATAAAACTTAGTCACTTCAGACTTGGATTGAGTCACTTATTGGAAAATAGAGGTCCTAAATCTTACCTTCTGAGTTTTACAGCTAGAACCATTCTGATTTACCTCATGGGTGGGCACTTATGCCAACTGACACACAGGTACTGTAGATAAATGGCTTAAAGTATTGTCTTTGTCACTGAGATCCCAACAGGAGTTCCTAAATATTAGTGCTGGTTCTTGTGATTGAGTGCTGTTCTCAAATTTACTCTATCTACAGTAACAATATTGCCTCACTCTGAATGCTACTACTTTGAGGTAAGAGGTCAGTAGTAAACACCAGCATATTCGGAGTAAATTCCTGGAACCTATAGTTTATAGGCAATATTGTTCATTGTCCTCATTAATGTTTCAGGAGCTGAAGAAAACTGATCAGAAAGTGGTGCATATTTTAGCACTGCCATATATCATTGTTCAAAATCTGTTCAAGAAGTAGAACATTCACATTCATCTGAAAATAGTACGGAACAAACTAACAATGAAAAATTTTATTCTGCATCAGGGTATCTGGAAAATGAAGCTGCATTTGTGGCACATTATAGATGAGGAATGATCCATTTATGGTGAGTACAAAACTCAATTATAGAATTATTCTTAGTACCAGATACTCCAAACTACCGGTGCTTAAATGAAAGTAAAACATGATTTGCCAAACAAAGGCTAGAAGTGAAATACGGCAGAATTTAAACCAGCAGCTATAAATTCAGCACCTATCTGTATTTTTAAAACATCAAATACTGGGTAAAAAAAAATCAAATATTGAGGAAGAGCTCTGGCCTTAAACACATCTCACTTGAAATCCAACCAAAAAGCAAGTAAGTCCATGATTTTATTTTAGTAATTTAAATTCATTGTATGGGGAAAAAATGCAAGATGAATTCAATGAAAAGGGCACTTTTTGGCTAAAACTACAAAATAAAATTGTTTTTAGAAAGCATTTAGGAAGACATTTCAAATCATTTTCATATGTCTTATATACTGATCTTCAGAAAATTTACCTAGAGTGTGTAGACGTTAATCTTGAAATATGAATGAGGAAAAATGATTTTTAAAGGGTTTTATAACACCCATCAGATCAGTGTAATGTGATGACTGTGATCATCTTGTGAACAAAAGCAACAGAAAAACAATTTAGAGAGCAGCGTGGCCCTGGAGACCACCCACACATTTGTACATACTGGGCAAAGAATTCTGTATCAACAGTCAGATGTTTTCACAGTCATTCAAATTATATTCACAAAACTGTTCCCTTGCATTCTCTACCTTTTGACTTATTTTCAAATAACTGCTTGCAGGGTATACAGAAGTCCTGCTATATTCTACATAATAGTTTAGGTGAAGTTAAAAAAAATTATCCACTGCTTAAAAATCTTCAAAATACATGACAGTGCCTTCAAACACTGTCACCATCTCTTCACAAAGCAATTCTGGAATCCGTGTATATCATTGGGTCTGAAGTATATTGGCAAGTTAAACATCCTGTAAGACAAGCCCAAGCCCGCACTTTTCCTGTATAAATCCTGCACTTCATCAATGCATATAATGATAGTCAAAAGCACAAAGTATATTTATGCATTCAGTCACATAGCTAAACAAAAATCCGGAAGTCTCCTGAAGCCATTTAAACCAGCTGTTCCAAAGCCTCCTGCCATCACTTTGCCATTAGTATCATCAAAAACTTCCCAACTATAAACAAGAAATACATGGTATGGCTGCTCCCTAAATATAGGCACTGATTGCTCTATATCTTTGAATACTTGTTGGATTTTCCACTCATAGCCTCCAAAAGCCCAAAATTAATTTTCCTATTTTATTGTCACCAGCCAGAAGCAAAATTTCTTTCTCAATTATTTGCCTGTTAGCTGATAGAGGTTACTGAATTTTAATTTTTTTTTAAAAAATGGTTGGACTTAAAGTATATAAAATTTTCAAAAAAGGAACAATTTGCTTTTCACTGTATTACTGTACCTGAGGTAGTTGAGTAAAAATGCACATTTAATTCCCCTGCCAACACCATTTAGCACTTCCCTTAGGTTATTTGTGTTGTTAGTGTTAGATAAAAATGAAATGGTTTTCCTATGCTAATGACTTAACATTTAATTAAGTTCCTGTGGTAATTGGATTTGGATCCAATTTGACAATTGGATTTAGGAGCAATCTACTTTTAATTTATTCATTTGATGAATTTAGTGGCTACATGATTTAAGCCAATTTCTGGCATTATATAGGGGATATCAAGAAGAATTAGAATATCTGTTATATGTGAGATTACAAAGGGAAGTGCAGAGCTCTTCTCTTTCTCCCCCTCCCCCTTATCTTTTTTAAAGCTGGGTGTCATACATTTCAGAGAGCATAAAAGTATACATTCTCACAGAGACAGGAGTTCAAAAGTTGCCTGGTACTCAGAAACAACTGGCTAGGTAAAAACTTGTGCATGTGGTTCTGGATGGGGTCAGCGCCCGTCTGTTGGTTAAGCAATCTGTCTTTGGTTTGGCATCTGCCTCTGTGGTGGGCTGTTTCCTGAGCCTTTACTTCCTCCTTGATTGAGGTGGTCCACTTTGCAGAGCCTTCTGCTGTTGGTGCTGCTTTACCTGAGTCAGAATTTCCTGAATTTTTCTCTGGGCAACCTAAAAAAAAAGACATAGCTTTGAAAAAAAAAAAACCTGCATGATCAGAAGTTTCTAAACTTTTTGGGGTTTTGGTGGTACTGGAGTTTGATCCCAGAGACTTGTACTTGCTAAGCAGGTGCTCTACCACTAGTCCTGTCCTTCAGCCCTTTTTGCTTTACTTTTTAGGATGGGGTCTTAACCTTTTTTATCTGTGAGCAGCTCTCAAACCTAAATTGTCTCCTGTGTAAGCCTCCTATAGTTAAGATCACAGGTTTTTGCAAACTTTTTGGCCCAGGCTGGTTTTGAACCAAAGTTCTCCCCATCTCTTCTTAGAGGGGCTAAGGAAGTAAGTTAAGTCTGGCACAGTCACGTGCATTTTTAATCCTACTATTATAGAAAGTGAGGTACTACTTAGGGTTTGTAGAAATTAATCTTGAAATACAAATGAGGAAAATTATTTTTCAAGGGTTTTACAACACAATTCAGAGAACAGTGTGGCCCTGAAGACTGCCCACACATTGATACACACTGGGCAAAGAATTCAATATCAACTGTTTGAATCCAGCAGTTTGGGGCCAGCCTAAGCAACATGTCAAGACCTTACCTCTTTATAATAAAAACACAATGCCCCCCCAAACATTAAATATTTGTAAATATTGCATGGGGCAAGAGCATCCATGCAGAACTGCTTCCATCTGAGGAGCAAAGAGCCCACTTGCCTGGCAAGCGTAGAAGTGACCAGTTATTTTGACAACAACTTGGTCATTTTCATCAGGTGTCTGGTCGCGAGGGACAACAACTTCAGCACTTGACAAATTCTGGAGTTCATTCACCTGAAATGCAAAATCATACTAAAGTGGAATAAGACACAACTACTACTAATCCCTCTATACATTCTATTCTCCAGGCTCTATAAATTCCATTGAATCTACTAGCTTAAAGACAATTGTCCCCATTTTAAGACAATTGAAGCTATAGCTTCTTCAATTAAGGCTCATTCCAAAGAAACTGATTTGCCCATTGACACAAGGGATTGGCAAAACAACATTCAAATCCTAAAGATTTAGTTGTCCATTTCTTCAAAGTTGCAAATAGTTTTGGAAATGACTAAGAGGCTATGTTAGGTAAAGATGGGAAATCATTTGATTTTTCAGTTAGTATTTAGTTCATGTCCTTTTCAGCATATAATAAGAGTTTAAAGCCAACAAGACAATGTTGAAAACACTTTATAAATATGGGACCATTCTCACACAAAGCAGTCTGAAATATGTATCAGCTACTTGCTGATACCAGTGTGCAGAGAGTAATAGGCAGTCTTCTCCAAACCTTGGTCAAGATTGTCCTGCTTTTTACAAATTAGCCAAAATTCAAGGGGAACTCTTCAAGTACTTTTCAATGTTTTCCCTTTCATACCCCCTGGACAAGTTTTGTTGAAGTACTTGCCGTTTTGCCTCCTTTTCCAATAACTCTCCCAGCAGCAAAGGATGGCACTCTGATATGAGCTTCAAGTTTTACCTCTTCTTTAGGACTAACAAAGTTTTCCTCTTTTATTTTCCCATAAATTCTTCCCTGAGCCTACAAATGAGATGTCCATTCAGTGTCACTCATATTTAAAATACAAAGGTCAGTTAACTTAAAGAAGGCCTAAACCCACCTGGAATAACCCTTTGTAGTGATGCATCTATATCTGGAAGGTTGTTGAAAGTTAAGACACAGAATCTAGAAGCGCTGGAAAGGGTGACGATGACTGCATCACAGGAGAGCCAACTCAATGTAGCAAGAAGGCTAAGCCACATTTTTCTGATGAAAACAGCTAAAGGCAAGTAGTAGTCAAACTAGAAAATCATTTTTATAGGCAAATGGCCATTCACACTCCACTCCTAAAAGCAACACACTTCTCTCCTCTGGCAATAAGAACTAACCAGAAGAGGCAAGGAAAGACCTACATAGCCACAATGCCAGGCTCATAAAGAGCCATGCTCTTTGTCTGTTGTGGGGCTTGAACTCTGGGCCTGGGTGCTGTCCTTCAGCTTTTCAGCTCAAGGAGAGCACTCTACCACTTGAGCCACAGTGCCACTTCTGATTTTTTGGTGGTTTATTGGAGAAAGGAGTCTAACGGACTTTCCTGCCTGGGCTGGCTTTGAACTGCGATCCTCAGATCTCAGCCTCCTGAGTAGCTAGGATTACAGTCATAAGCCAATAGTGCCCTGCTACATCTTACACTTTATAAGCAGATGTTCTACAACTTGAGCCACATACCTTTTTATTTTTTTCAAGCCTAATTATTTATGCCTACTCTGGCCTGGACTTCAATCCACTTTGTATTTCCTATGTATCAGAGATGTCACCTTTTAAAGTCCAACTGGTATTGAACCAAAGTCTTAGTCTCCATCTGCTGAATAGCTAGGATTATAGGTATGAGTGAGCCACCATGCCCAACTACATTTTTAAATTTTAGCTGATTTATGCTTTAAAGAAACTACAGAATCAAGCTGACATACAATTCTGATATTCTATCACTCACCTGCTATCTACCACTAATATATAATATACAACCCTTAATTGGCATATTCAGAGCAAATCAGAGGGAAAAAAGTAGGAGACTTAGGGTAGTCTGACAAGCTTCCAGGACAGATCACAAACACAAAAGTTTCACTACCTCTTCAGTGGTGCAGAAATACTAAACTCACTTTATGGGATTACAGAGAGAAAATGCATCTCAGTATACTAGATTTTACTCGCTCTTCATGTCATATCACAGATGTGGGTGTTAACATTAACAAAGGCACTGGACCCTAGGAATGTACATTATCCACAACAGAAGCTGAAGAGTTCACAAGAAAAACTATGGGTTAAAAGTTTGCTATTCCTAAGATTTCTAAAGTAAAACTTTCATTTGTAATTCTCATTGCTCACAATGAAATATGACCATTATAGCTTAAGTGCAGTACTTAACAGAGCATTGGAATTTGAAGACATAGGTAAAATAACTGAAATTTCCCATTATATAAGCCCTACAATAGTTACAAGCCAGTATAAAAAGAGTAAAAGCTTAGCACCCAGGAGAAATATGTAATAACCAATGTTTACATTTTAAGATTACATACTAAGTGCTGAACCTTCAGTGCTCATATTTTCAACATTAATTTTATTGTGGTACTAAGGATAGAGTCCAGGGCTTCTCATATTCTAGGTACTAAGGATGGTGGGAGGTAGGGAAGGAATGGTGGTAAGATGTAGGCTGCATTACTAGATTAAAGGCTAAATAGCTGTCAGATTATATAGCCGATAAATGGTAGTTTTATTTTTAATGCACATTAGGCAGACACTTCCACTAAGTTTTACTCTAGCACCAGTAGTTTTTTATCTAAAACAAGACATTTGATACTAAATTTTTTGTGTATGTGTCAGTCCTGGGGCTTTACACTCTCTTCACTTGCTTGCTCATAGAAGGTGCTCTTTCTTTGAAACATACCTCCAGCCTGGCATTTGGCTAGTTAATTGAAGGTGGGAGTCTCTGACTTTTGTCTGACTGGCAACAAACTCCAATCTTCTGATTTTAGCCTCCAGAGTAGCTAGGATTACAAGTGTGAGCCACTGATACCCAACTTCATGGTAATTTTTTAAAAAAAATCATATTTTAGCCGGTCACCAAAAAAAAAAGAAAAGAAAAAGTCATAAAGGAATGTAATTTGACCTGGTCTTACTCTGATCTGCCCAGAGTTGGCTGAATATCACCACCAGCAACAGTAATACATTAGTTCTACTTATATTTTAGGTACTCATTTTTTTGCGTGTCAGTTGTGCCTGTGCACATTCCTGAGCTGCTTTTTGCTCAAGCTAGTGCTCTACAACTTAAGCCACCAGCACTTCTGGCTTTTTTTGGTAGTTTATTGGAAGAGTCTCAAGGACTTTTCTGCCTAGGCTGGCTTCAAACTGCTATCCTCAGATCTCAGCCTCTTCTGAGTACCTAAGGTTACAGGCATGAACCACTGGTACCTGGCTATAGATCCTTTTATCTTTATTTTATACATGAAGAGCCAAAGAGAGAGTTGGGAATGTGGCTTAGTGGTAGAGTGCTTGCCTAGTATGCATGAAGCCCTGGGTTTGATCCCTCAGCACCACATACACAGAAAAAGCCGGAAGTGATGCTGTGGCTCAAGAGGTAGAGTGCTAGCCTTGAGCAAAATAAGCTCGGGGACAGTGCCCAGGCCCTGAGTCCAAGCCCCAGAACTGGCAGGAAAAATAAGGAGGAGGAGGAGGAAGGAGAACTAAGGAGAAAACAGTAACTTGCCCCAGAGGTCACCCAAATGGTAAGAAACAGCTATTGTTTAAACCAGCATATTGGCCACCAAGGTCTAGGTCCTTCATTACCTTGCGATACCACCTCTTACCATTTTTACATCTAAAATCCTAAGGAGTGATGTGACTTGTGGATAATATAAAGGTAGGAATTCACAATTAATCTTATGGTAAGAGGAATGGAAGCCATTTTGATTTAAGGTTATGGCAGTTCAGAGACAGCAGGGAAAATCGGGATATGTTTCCAAGGCATACTAACCAGGTAGGTTTCTAAGATTCAGTTGTAAGGTCTCACCTTCCCAGATAACAGTGCAATGAGCAAATTCACACCTTTGGGAGATAACAACTATTACAGAACACTTAAACTAAAAGGCTTGAGTTTGCCAGGTGTTAGTGGCTCATGCTGTAATCCTAGCTATTTAGGAGGCTGAGATCTGAGGATCATGGTTCAAAGCCAGCACAGGCAGAAAAATCTGTGAGCCTCTGATCTCCAATTAACCACTGGAAGTAGCACTATAGCTGAAAGTGGTAGAGCACAAGCCTTGAGCAAAAGAGCTCAGTGACAGTGCACAGTCCGAGGTCAAGCCCCACTACTGACCAAAAAAAAAAAGGCTTGAGTTTATGCTTGAAACTTCAGATATGGATTTCATTGATGCTTACTTCTGAGTATCAGCTACATTTGTGGGCGGGGGGGGAGGGGAGGGGTGAGCAGATTACTAACTTATGAGTAGGCAGCATTATCATTCTCCCCTATAATTTGTTAACCTACATAGACACTAGGCACATACCTTGAACTGAGCCTCTGGTGGTCCAGTGATAATCACCATTCTCACCTTAGCATCTGGTGCTTCGGCTGGAGCAATCTACAACAGACCCATCACCAACTAGTTAGACTTTTCAGAAGTAACTGACAGAAACTGTAGGCCAACCAGATTGACATGTACCTGACTGACTAAAATGCACAACTGAAATCCTGACAGCTGGAAATTATGCAGAAGGCAATGCTTAATGTGGTTTAATCACTTAGGGCTTCCATTATACAGTATGTACATACACTGCCTAAAGCTAACCCTCCTGGCATCCTCATGAGTTACCTCTACTTTATAGATGAGGAAATGCAAGGCTGGAGAACTAGACTAGTAAGAGAGCTTCTGCCCCAGAAATGCCTATCCTAGAATACTCCAGGGAACTCTGCACACCATTGCTAGACTACTGCACCCCAGTCTTCTCTAACTTTCAAAGGAAGGGACAGGTTAATAGTTAAGATTATAGAATTGTTTTTTCTTCATTTATAAAGCACATTCTGGATTTCTGGACTTAGAAAATTATCTGCAAGTACACTAGTGGGCATAACATGCCAAATGAAATTAATATTAACTGTGCAGGAGGAAGGAGAAGTCAAGACTTTCCTGTTTTCTCAGCATATATAATATCACATATAAAGGCTAGGCTTGGGAAATGGTACTGAAACGAGCATTCCTAGAGGGTTTGGAAGAAACTACTTAGGGACTCAGGTGATTGGTGTTACTTTAAAATAAGAATTGATAAGACATTTACTGTACAAAGTAATTGCAGACAAGATGGTATGTATATGTGCATGTGCATGAACACAGCAGTACTGAGGCCTGGGCATTGTCCCTTAGATTTTTTGGTCAAAATAAATGCTGTACTACTTGAGTCACAGCTCCAATTCTGACTTTCTGTTGGTTAATTGGAGATTATGAGTCTTAGGGACTTCTCTGCTCAAGGTGGCTTCAAATAATGATCTTAGATCTCGGCCTCCTTAAGTAGGTAGGATTACAGGCCTGAGCCACTGATGCCCAGCTTAAGATTTTGTTTTTTCAGCCCAGGTTGACCTCTAACACACTGATTCTCCTCTCTTGACCTTCTGAATGCTGGAATTGCAGCCTTGTGCCAGACATGTCCAGCTTCTTACTATGTAAAACAAACCAAAACATCATTTCTATGTAAGAACAGGAAGAAGAAAATGTCACCTTGGTAATCCTAGCTACTCAGGAGGCAGAAATCTGAGGATTATGGCTTGAGGCCAGCTCAGGCAGGAAAGTCTAAGACTCTTATTTCAATTAGCCACCAGAAACCAGAAGTGGAGCTGTGGCTCAAAGTGGTAGAGTGCTAACCTGGAGCAAAAAAGCTCAGGGAAAGTGCCAGGCCCTGAGTTCAAACCTCATAACTGACCAAAAAAGAAAAAAGTCACCTCAAATTCCACTTTTGAAAATGACAACTGCCAATTATTTCAGAGTCTTCTAAGACCTTTCCCACGTATTTTCATTAGGAAAAAAAAAGTATTTTTAATGAAAATCTGCTTTCTTCCTCCAAAACTGGCATGCAGGACACTGACTTTGCAGGGCTTTGAGTGTATAAAACCAGCAATAATTGCTATCAGTCCAAGCTCTTACTATTATTCACAGGAAACCACTGTAAAGATACTATTCTACAACTTTACATCCAGTTTTTGTCTTTTGTTTTTAAATTACCTTTTGTTAATATTGATGATCAAAGATGATCAAAGTGCTAAGAGCACTTGTACATTTATATAAGATAGCTGCCTATCAGCTCCCAAAACCTGAAAAAAAGCACATGTTCTACTTCTATAGGCATATGTATAGGTTTAGGTTATAATATTAACTATAACCTTACTCATGGCACCATTTATGCAGAATTTAGGAATAAGTGAACACAATGACTATGGTTTGGTAATAGCCAAACCATATATGCCTAGTAAAGCAACAAAAACACAGAAATTTACCTTTACATAAACCTTTGCCAAGTATTGATTGTGAACCCTTCAGACTATGTTTCAGATGTTATGAAAACTGTCAAGAAGGCTCTACTACTTGAGCCATACTTCCAGTCCTAATATCAAATTCTTATTCATTAAATGTTCATTGCAGCTTTCCCAACATGGTTACTGTCTAGAGAATGAGTAAAATAGTGAAATCAGTTCATCACTTGGTTGTTTATGATTTTTGTTGGTTATCCACCTATTTACTTTGGCTGAATTCATTCTTCATGGATTTTGTTGACTTGCTACAAGATTATCTAAGGGCTATTTGTGTTGTGACTTAATGACTTAATTTACATGCAGTAAAGGTTATTTTTATATGGTCCAAGTCTATGAGGTGATAAGCACATCCTGAGTTAACCACTACCTGAGTGAAAATACAGGAGTACCCCTACCTCTAAGTCTCAGGAAACCTGTTATGTTATACCCCTCTCTCTCCTTCAGTTCCTAGCAACCACTGATTTCCATGCTGCTGTCTTTGTAGTTGCTTTCTGGACTTCACATATAAAAGGAGTCATCTGGTGCATGGCTTTCTGAGTTTGACTTCTTTCTCTCACCACAATATGTGAATTTTCTGCCAAATTTGTTGTATCAGTAGCTGGTTTGTTTCTACTGTTCAGTAGTATTTATTATAGATGAAGCATACTTAGCCAGTTCACCAGCTGAAGGATATTTGGTTTCTTATTTTGGGATAGGTACAGCAATAAACATGCTACAAATATTTGACTACAAGGATTTTTCAGTGTGTAAACCTAATTTTTCATTTTTCTCAGATAAATGTTCAGGAGTAAGGTTTATGGATTATATAGTAAATATATCTTATGTGTGTGCACACTCTAGTGCTTAGTTTTCTTACTCATGGCTGTCATTCTACCACTTCAGCCATCCTCTAGTCCCTGTACTAATCTTTTTAAGTATTTTTGAAAAAGGTTTATGAAACATAATCCAATAAAAAACTATATATGCATGTTTGCCTGAAAAAAACTGTGGCTATATCAAGCCTTTGTCCACCTTTTTCAGAAAGCATATTGTTTAATATTAAATTCCCTGAATACATCCAAATGCACAGTCTTTGAACAGAATCTGTGTTCAGACAGCATCAGGTGTCCTGACACTGGTTATCTGTATTAGTTAACACAGATTAGCTTTCCCTGCCTCATTATCTTTGTCTAATTTCTGAGAGAGTGGAAAATAAGTTGAAATGTGCCATAGCAGTTAAAGGAGACTTGCCTATGAGAAAGGATCATATGTCCTCATCTCCCTTACTGGCTGGACAACAGATTATCAGAACAATGAACTATATCATCTGGGACCATAAAGGGTCACACCTGGGGGCAGATGATGAGCTAGAGGGAAATAGTAAGTCCAAAGTCTTGGTGGGGCAGAATTATCCTTTCGTTCTGCACTGCCAGACAGATTTTTCTGGAGAGAAAAGTTAACTCACCTTGTTAAAGCCACAGTTGTTGGGGTTCTCTGTCATAACCTATGTAATCCAAGACAGCCTGCTACTTTCAATTGAAATTATCAAGTGGATAGAAGACTCATCTCTGAAATTTGCTTGAAGAACCAAGACAGCCATGGTTGGCAAAACAGTACCTTAATTGAAGCTCCTGCAAATCGAGAAAGCTGTTTGATGTGCTGGCCCTGCTTGCCGATAATGGCGCCAACTGATAAGGCTGGAATAAACAGGTGCACAGTCTCCGTTTCCGATTGCTGTTAGAAAAGAAAGCCAATACATACTTACTTACAAATTTTTTTGTGTTTTGTTCTGGTACTGGGTCTTACCCTTGAGTTTTGGTGAGACAAGTTTTGATGGCTTTTGTTTTTCTTCAAAGCTAAGGTCTGCCACTTGAGCCACGGCTCCAACCTTTTTGTGGTTAATTGGAGGTAAGAGTTTCATGGGCTGGGAAGGTGGCTGGCTCAGTGGTAGAGTGCTTGCCTTGCATGCATGAAGCCCTGGGTTCGACTCCTCAGCATCACATAAGCAAAAAGAAAAAAGCCGGAAGTGGGGCTGTGGCTCAAGTGGTAGAGCACTAGCCTTGAGCTGAAGAGCTGAGGGACAGCACCCAGGCCCAGAGTTCAGGCCCCATAGACTTTTCTGCCTTGGCTGGCTGTGAACCATGATTCTCAGCTCTAGTCTGGACCTGAATAGTTAAGATTATAGGCCTGAGCCACCAGTGCCAAGACAAGTTTATTTTTGTTTTTGTTCTTTTTAAATCATCACCTTTAGGATAAGCACATTCTCATTAGCAGTATCATCAGAAACACTACAGTATGTTGACAAGAGTTTGTTTAGGAAGTCAAGGGGGTATTGTGCATCCATATTCTGAAAGGAATTTGTGTTTTAATTTCATTTTCATAATTTTCTTAAGTTTCAAAATGACACTCAATATATAGATTTGAAGAGATACAGGTGAAGATGACAAAACTGCATTAACAACTAGTATCTCCTAACCACTAAATATTCAAGGTAGTTTCTTGATGAGTAAATGAAATTATGGGCTAACATAACAAAAACAGCAGCATTCAAAGACACCATCTCCATCCCTTAATATATGTAGGTTTTACTTTTGGATTTTATTTTGTTTTGTGTCAATCCTGAGGCTTGAACTCAAGGCCTGAGCACTGTCTGAGCTTTTTTTACCATCCCCCCCACCCCATCAAGTCTAGTGCTTTACTACTCGAGCCACAACATTTCTTCCAGTGTTTTTGGTAGTTAATTAGATATAATAGTCCCACAGGCTTTCCAGTCCATGATGACTTTGAGCCACAATCCTCAGATCTCAGCCTCCTGAGTAGCTAGGATTGCAGGCATGCATTATCAGTGCCTAGCTTAACTTTTGGGTGTCTGTTGGTTTTGGCAGTACTGTGGTTTGAACTCAAGACTTTGCATTTGTCAGGTGCTCTACTGTTTGAGCTACATCCTCTTCCTCCTCACTAAACTATCAACCTGTGACAAGGGCCTCTCCTTCCTGGTCTAACCAAATCATTTCTCGTATGTATCCATTAATGTAAGACACCAAATAAAAGTATTTTATTCTTCAGTGCTTCCAAGTCATAGGAAGAGTGAGTGCCTCTCTGGAAGGAATTACACTGCAATGTCTTATATGTACCATGAACTTCTTAAGGCTTTTCTTTCTTTCTTCCTTTCTTTTTCTTCAGGCTTTTCTTGTTTTAAACTCAGTAAGCCAATTGATTCAATGCTGGCAATGACTATGAAGCGTGCTCAGTGTCATCTGATCCTTTATCAAGCATGTTAATGCTAATTTTTTAAAGTAATTTCTAATATTTTTCTAAAAACAACCATATTGTGTTCTCACTAAATACAAACAATAAATATTTTTTGTTGTCAGCTTGGGAATAAGTTTCTTTTAAATGGTTGGATTAAATCTAAACTGTAATTAGCCCACATCTACCCCCAATTACTTCACTGTGACTATTGTATTGCTTATTTCTTGGGCCTCATTCCAGAATTTCATGCTGTTTATAAAATAAGTTGAAAGATAAAAAAGCAATGGCCAGTGAAGAAATAAGAGCATAAGGATCTGAACAGTAACATAAGGCAAAGCCAAAATCTGTTAACATACATAGGTCTTCAAGCTTTCTAACAGCTAACTTAAAAATAAATCAGTGGCATGATTTACCAATTCTATAAGGAAAAGCTACTTATTTGCTTAAAAACTCCTTTTTCTGATGAAGATCCCAGAGAGCAACTTGTAAATATCTTTGGGACAGAAAATTAACAGCCATCATCCTCCACATAATTCTTGGGAGTAAAGCCGTAGCCTCAAAAGCACAGCCATAGCATGTGTATTAGCCTAGAACATAACAGAGATGGCTACCATGAAGCCTTAAAAGCTGAACAAAAAATAATTTTTCTGACATGGTAATGAAAGTCTATCATATTTTTGCTAATTTGCAGGGCACAAAGATGAAAGGTGAGAAATCCAATAAAAGATACGGGCTGGGAAGGTGGCTCAGTGGTAGAGTGCTTACCTCGCATGCATGAGGCCCTGGGTTCAATTCCTCAGCACTACATAAGCAGAAAAAAGCCGGAAGTGGCACTGTGGCTCAAGTGGTAGGCAGAGAACCACAAGCTAAGAGGCAAAGATTAGGAAGGTGAGGCTTAGGGCTACCCTGGGCAAAATGAGGTTCATGAGGCTCAGTGAGCATCTGAAGCAGAAGTAGGAGGACTAAAGCCCAGGCCAATTAGGCATAAAGCAAGACTCTGCCTTGAAAATAGCCAGTGCAAAAGAGGTTGGAGGTTTGGCTCAAATGGAAGGATCCTGAGTTCAATTTCCAGTGGTTCATGCCACTAATCCTAGCTTCTTAGGAGACCGAAATCTGGAGGATTGCAGTTAAAGCTAGCCCTGGCAGAAAAGTCCCCCCGCCCCCCCAAAGTCCTGTCTCCAAAATGGCCAGCAAAATCAGGGCTGGAGGAGGAGTATGTGGCTTAGAGGAGTATGTGGCTTAAAGGATAGAAATCTGGCCTCATGGATGCCAAAGCCCTAAAATCCAAATCCAGTTCTACTCTTCCCTTCCCCCCCTCCAAAAAAAAAAAAAATGAAGGGTTGGAAAAGGAATGGTAGTCAAAGGACCAAAATATTAGCTGAAAGGGTAAATTGCTGTATGGAACTAATATACTGACTTAAAAATTCCCCCATGATAGCATGAGAACAGAGTAATAGAACCTGTCAAATAAGGTAGAAGTAGAAGTAAGCCTGGTGTTTCCTGCACTGAGGGATACTGCTCCAGATTGAAGAGCAGTCATGTTCACATAAAATATCTTAAAGTGACTCATCAGGTAAGTTCAGAAGACATTGTTGAGCATCAACCAATTCCCTCTGTTCCAATTTCATGTGTACCAGGCACCTGGTCAGGCCACAGATGGTTTTGCAAATAAATTTTCCTCTGAGGTTACAAAACAGTTCGTATAAAAATCCTGTCCTTCCTTTTACAGACTCCTTGAACTTAATTGAATCCTTTCAAAATCCTATGCTGGCCGGGCGCCAGTTGCTCATGTCTATAATCCTAGCTACTTAGGAGGCAGAGATCTGAGGACCGCAGTTCAAAGCCAGCCCCGGCAGGAAAGTCCATGAGACTCTTATCTCCAGTAAACCACTAGAAAACCAGAAGTGGCACTGTGGCTCAAGCAGTAGAGTGCTCACCTTGAGCTGAAGAGCACAGGGACAGCACAGCACCCAAGCCCAGAGTTCAAGCCCCATGACTGACCAAAAATAAAAAATAAATCCTATGCTGTGAGAATGTACACTAGAAGAACCACTTTCGGAACTTACTATGGGGGTTTCTTAAAATACTTAAAATAGGACCTGCAGTGATCCAGCTAGAGTATATACTTGAAGAAATCTCAAGAGAAAAACCTGCATACCCATATTTACAGTGGCACTGTTGTTAGGTTATGGAATCTAAGTGCCCACCAACAGATGACTAGAAAAAGAAAATGACTATATAGACACACAACAGTTTTTATTCGGTCACAAAGAATAAAATGTCATTTGCAGGAAAATTGTTAACAAAAATAATCCAGGCCCAGTCAATACTTTTTTCTGTCTCTCTCATGAGGAATCTAGGATTTTAAGAAAAAGATATGGAAGTACAAGGGTGACTAGTGGGGACCATCAAGGGAAGTGGGTACCCAAGAGGGTCGTGGAGGGTCCATGATCAAAGTACATGATATACATATATGAAGATGTCCTGACACCTATTTTTAGTACAACTTAAACAACAAAAATCTTTTCTTGATACATTCTTTAGGGTGAAGGATATTCACAGGACATAAACTGCTTTCCAGTGGGTCTCTGCCAGATTGCCTACCAGCAAAAGCTCCTTTGAGCTTCTTGGCAAACTCCATGCTATGGCTTGAAATCATAGAACAAAGCTGCAGCAGCTAAACTTGCATAACTGCTGAAGTCTGCCAACATGTAGTTCCCAGTCATGCATTGTTTAGAGATAGAAGTATGAGCCAACAGTAAGGTTAAGTGTATTTACTTTGTGGGGGAACAAAACCTAAGACATCATAGAGGCCTGGAGACCTGCATGCCAGCCAATGGGGTCAGCCTCCAGGAACATGGAAGGATGCCAGTGCTGTCTTTTTGCTTATAAAGTACACATTCAGGGTCAGGGGAGGGAGTGAGGGAGGTCATTTTGTTTTTAAATGAATTTTCTCTGGAACTGAGAGTAAACTGACTCAATTTCATGACTTGAAAAAAAAAATTACTGAAGTCCTTTAAAGTAAAAAATAAAAAGGCAAAGTAAGTTCATCCTCCAAACTCAACAATCAAGGCCTCTCTTGAGGATTTCAGTGAGTTATTTACTTGGGAACTGTTTGCCAACAAAGGAACACCCACTACGAGAAATCTTAAGAACTAAGAGACTTCATGAAAATTCCCTGATCTAAAAATTAGAATTTTTTATAGAGTGCCTTAAAACTAATTAGACCTAAAAAGAAGCACTCATCTTGTCATCAGCGAAGTTAGCAGTTTGAAGGTTACATTATCATTCTGGGGACTTTTGGGAAGACTCCAAAGAGGCTATCAGATTTTAGAGACAACAGCCCTTGGGTTTACTCCTGCCAACTCAACTGCACACTGCCAATACCATCCAGCTAGGGCAATGTGCACGATGCCAATGCCAGCTCTTGCTCTGCCTCACTAGCTGCCAATTCCCTCTTCCCTACTGTTTGAGCATTTCTG